GGATATTTTCAGTGTCCCGGTAATTCAAAAGGCTTATAAATAATTCAGAATGAGTTTTTTTGAAAATCTGAAATAGCAGAAAGTCTCCTGTGAGGGGTAGGTTTAGGGGTAGGGTTGGTGTAGGGCAATAGAATATACGGTCTGTACAGTATAAAAACCATTACGCCTATGGAGAGTCCCGCTGATGCTGATCACATTCAGATGCTTCTGTTTTCATGTAAACTGCAGTTGAAGTCCATGTCTCTACACTAAAATCCGCATACGAGTCTCTGGACAAACAACACGAGACAAACTGTTCCTCTCTGCTGTTCATAGAGACGCAGTGACTTCTGCTTTACTCAGTGCTGAAGTGAATTACACTACATCTCTCTCTCTCTCCTGCTTCTCTTACTGCAGTAACATTTGCATTTATTCACTACTTATAAGCAACTTTAACCCATTGAATATACAGATTTTTAGAGTATCAGACATTCCATATTCCTCTTGTATGTGCTGAATATTTCACTGATGTAGACTGTTTTGCTACCTTTATTAGAGCTCAGCAGCAGATTTTGTGTTGCAGAGGACAGAAATGAAGGCTGTGCTGAATTTAATTTTGTTTGACTGGATTTAATAGTTTACAGTCAGTGACCTGCACTGTACAGTGAAATAGGTTATTTACAGGTTCAACTGCTCACCTGCTCCTTGAAGGTGTGTGTCGGGATAAAGGTAATATTTACACTTTTGTTAATTGACTTAATTAGCATCTTAAATAGTATCATCCACAATTGGGAAAAAACTAAATTCAACTAATGAGCTAATCGATGTCGTCAGTCTCATTTATAGCCTTGCACAGATTCATAAATTATATTAAATATGTTTAATATGCATAAAGTGTACATTAAATATGTTAACATTAAAGGTGCAATAGGTGATTGTCTTCAGAAACAATTTTTGTTATGCTGGTTGAAAGTCTCTTCACATCCCGATAGCAATTATTAAGTTAAGTGGTCTAAATGTATTTGTCTGTATTTATACAGTATATTCTGTGGAAGATGTAGGATCAAGAAATGTTCGTCCAATCAAAACGCTCGGTCCAAGCGTTTTAATATGCTTTCCTACCTGCCTGTCAACGTACGTATAAGCATACCTCTGCGCATCCGGTTCGCGCAGACAGGATACGTCATCAGCACGTTCACGCACGCTGTGCAGACAGAGCGAGGACGGCAGACAAACAGCAACAACCCCATCTTCCTTCCTGGTATTGTAGTACTTTTAAAGATTTCTCACCGGTGAATGACACATGATGTAGCCCAGCAGTTAATCCAGTCCTCGCGCCAGCTCGTTAGAAGTGAGCTACGTGCATGAACTGTGTTCCGATCGATATGATCCCTACACAGTGTTCATTGCTCCCTACTCCCTGAGCAGGGGAAATCTGTTGAAGTTTACTTCACTTCAGAACATGGGCTGGAATTGGGAACCTGTTGTAGCCTATTGTAGTAATGTTGTCTCTGGTCTGTGAGCGTAAATGCGTTCAGGGGGCGTGGCTTTGGACGGCGATTGCAGGGAGGGTGGGACGTTCGCTTTCAGTGCTATCAGGCTAAAGTTAGCATTTTCCCAGATCTCCTATTGTACCTTTAAGTTGATATCATCACACAACTTGCTGTATTTAAAAGCCCTTGAAATATCTGTTAGAAAAGTGCATGTAGCATTAGTCAGGAGTTGATTAAAAAGGCAGTGTTGACAAAAACGAAAGATGGACACAACCACAGTGCTGGTCCTGGTATGAATGAATGAATAAATGAATGAATGATGCATTTATATAGCGCTTTATTGTGTATTGTTGTACACCCAAAGTGCTTTACAATCATGTGGGGGGGGGGGCTCTCCTCAACCACCACCAGTGTGCAGCATCCACTTGGATGATGTGAAGGCAGCCACAGGACAGCGGCGCCAGTGTGCTCAGCACACACCAGCTACAGGTGGAGAGGAGAGAGAGTCATAGAGCCAATCAAGTGGTTGGGGATTATTAGGAGGCCATGATTGACAAGGGCCAGTGGAGGGAATTTGGCCAGGACACCGGGGTTACACCCCTACTCTTTTACGATGAGTGCCATGGGATTTTTAATGACCACAGAGAGTCAGGACCTCGGTTTAACGTCTCATCCAAAAGATGGGTATGTGTATACAACGCGCAGTGCTGGAAAAACACACTGTTAAAGGAGCCTTTGGTGTAAACAACACTGTAATCCATACCTTCCACATCAGCAACTGTGTTTTATCTGTTCCAATTGTACAATAGAGTGCTGCAGGGGGGACGTATTTTTGTAGACCAAAACAGAGTTAGCATTTCTGGTTCCATCGTCCTGAAGTCAATTAGCTTTTTGGTAGTGTACCCTAGTGAAAAAAAGTATACCAAATATACTTGCAGTCAGACTAATTGTCAGTATACTTCAAGTGTGTTAATGATTAGTTAACTTGAAGTGTGCTATTTTGGATCAACTATTTTTGTACTAAGTGTATTTTAGTTGTAATTAAATTATACTAAAGTATAATTTTAAGTGTATTTAGTGTATGTTTCTATACTAAATTGGAACAACTTCGAGGACACTAAGTATATGCCTATTTACATGCTTGATTAGTGATATTAAAGTGTATTTTTTTTGTATTATGAGTACATTACAAATTAATTATGAGTGTCTTTGAAACACACAAGCAATATACTATAAATGTATTATTTTTGAGTAAAAATATGCTAATTTTCCCCCAATGCTGAATCCACTTTTTAAGGTCATTACAATAAATACATAACTTCAATGACAGAGACACATTATTAACAATTCAAACTGTGTTTATTTAAACCTCAAATGGTTTTAGCATTGCAAAACATAAAATGCACCAACCATGTTTTTAAATAAAAAGAATGCTGAAAGAAACAAACACGAAAAAATAAAAACATTTAGCAACAGCAGCAACACACAAACTTCACTTTTTTGCTGAATTAGATTTTTTACTTTATTTCGAACATAAAATAAATACAATAAAACAATAACACAATACAAAACTATTTTAAATTATACATGTCCAAAAAATATAGCAATTCTATAAAGAATTGCTCTTTGTTACACTTGCGCCTGATGGCCGCTCACATCAGATGCACTTGTGTGTGGAAACTAACCTCAAAGTAAAAGAGGTCAGGTCAGAGGGCATGTTCATACAACTTTTTCTTTTTACTACATCAGACTGTAAATCTCCTGTATTAAACCCGTACTACTTAATAGAATGAACATCAGGATTAGCGGTGAGGAATTGTATCAGTATGTCACGTCAATATTGCTTCCAGTGTATTAGTCAAACATACAGTATACAACAGAAGTGAGTACACCCATATAGCATCACTTTAAATCACATGATATAACGCTATTCAAGTTGAAAAGAATAGTATTTATAGTACAGGTCAGGCTAAATTGTAATGTAGACACATGCATTTTCTGTAAAGCTGCTTTGAGAAGTTAGTGCACTCTAAATGAGGGCATAAAGGGCAAAAGCAGCAGCAGCGCACTGATCCTAGACTTAGTAGACATCACCTCTCCGTCTTCAAAGACAATCAACACATCCAGTGGGTTCCTCGTGACATCTCCTCTTCCTCCTCAACAGCAATGATGGGGACTGCTGCCTTCTGCACCTGCTCAGGCTCCTTTTTCTAAATGCATTAAACAAAAGTGTTAGTATATGTCACAACATATCATACAATTAACCCTTGTGTGATCCTCTGAATCAGAACTGGTGGCACACTGCATCACATCAAACATCCCTGATCCTGGATATCATGATGTCAGTCACGTGGTGTGAAAGAAGCAGTGTTTGTCTGGGCTGTGTATGCATGAGTGGATCAATGTTCAGATTTACATTTCATTCCAAAAATATTGTACTGCTTCAGAAGACACATTTGTGCCGCTACATTTGCAAAAATAGCAATTCATCCAAAAATGAAGAAATGTAAGTTACTTAAACAAACCTTTCAGAAAGTGATGGTTTACATCTCGCAAAACACTAAAACCTATCAATTAAATCAATGTGAATTCTACTTACTTCACTTTAGGCTCGTAGTATTGCAGCCATCTTGTTGCCTTTGACTCCACGCTGCCTTTGCTCTGAAAACATTGATTTCAAAAACATATGCAAGTATGAGTTTACGGGGTCCCTTCAATACTGGTGCAGGACTGGAAAAAAAGCACAAACAAATTAGATTAAATAAACCAGGGAAAAAAAACACTAATTACAATGTGAAATGATAAATGCATAATAATAAAAAGAAACACCTAGAACACATCTTAACACAATACGTGCTAAACAAAACCAGTTAATATCATGCTTTGTGTATTACAGAGAAAGGAAAACGTCATTAAAAATTTCCTCAAGAAAGTTTGTAAACAGGCCGCTTTGTACAGACATTAACTATCATAGTATTTTATTTATTTTTTCCTACTATGGAAGTCAATGGCTGCGCAAAGCAGCCAGTTTACAAACTTTCTTCAAAATATCTTCCTTTGTGTTCAGCAGTACAAAGAAATGTATAGAGGTTTGGAACAGTAAATTACAATTTTCATTAAAAAAATGGTTAATTCTAAACTTAACATTGTTTTCTACACCAATTGACACAGCTGTGTGCATTTCTTGCATCTGAGCTCTGAAGTCTTACCCATGAATTGCCGTCATGTGACTGATAACAATATTAACAAGCTGACGTCTGGTGCTTTACAATAAGGTTTCATTAGTTAACATGGACTAAGAAAGCACAAGACTTCTACAGCATTTAATAATCTTAGTTAATGTTAATCTCAACATTTCCTAATACACTATAAAAATCAAAAGTTGTATCTGTTAACATGAATGCACTATGAACTAAAATGAACAAACAGTTCTACTTTTATTAACTAATACTAAAGTTAGCCATTGTTAGTTTGCACATTAATTAATGTTAACAAATGAGACCTTATTGTAAAGTGTTAGCATACACAAGCACTGTGGGCTTATACATCAAGCATAGTTCCTACATGACTAAGTACATTTCTAAGCAGAAGAACAAGATTCTTAGCTTACCTTCAGTGAGAAAGTCTCGGAACATACTATCTCTGTGAAGTTTTACACATTTCTTCACGCCTTGATGAACATGAAAGCTGTTGGTCAAGAAAAATGCTAATTATGACGTTGTAAATTAAAGAAAATCCAGCGAGCCGCTTGTCAGAAGCTCCATTTGTCACCCCACAGATGTTAACGTTACATTAAAGTGAAATCGTAAGTTAAAGTATCTACTATTGCAGATGAAGCGCGTGCACGTCAAACACGTGTCTCATATGATGAGCAAATATTAGTTCACAGTCATAAACTGGCAGAAAATATAAGTTTAGCAAAACGCTTCTTGCTTGATTATCTGATCATTTATCTCCGCTGCCATTTACTTTGCAGACGAGAGTAACTGCGATATACTTCATGTAAATTCCTCGGACCATCCGAAGCTGTGCGTTCAAGGTCTAGGATAGGGACATAATTTAACACTCAGGATTTTGCTGTGCACTTTTGCCACTGATCTGAGATGAAAAAAGCTACTCTTTACAACTGCATTTACATGCTTGTCAAATTGGAGGAGAGGATCAAAATGGACTCCAAGATTTTTTGCATGATTGTTTAGGTTATTACTTAAGAAACCTAACTGTGTTTTAATAGAGTTGTTAGCAAGACCCAGTACACAGCAACAAGTCCAGAGTTGAATTAACACTTTCAAAATAATGAAACATTTAACATTATGCCAGAGTTCCTTATTTGACTCTAAAAAAAAAAGTGTTAAAATAACACTGTTTAGAGTTGCATGTTTCAGGTGGTTAGAATTTGTTTCACTGTACGGTCTCAAAAGATCTACAAAACATGGTAAATATATACTGAAAACAGTTAAATCAACTACAACACACAACATCATTTCCATCAACGTGTTTATTTTAATTCTCCCTTGCAGTGCAATTTGAAGTTGAATTAAAACATTTAAAAAAGGAGGAATGTTTTACAAACTTCCATCCGCAACACTATATGATTTTATGAGCCATATCAAATGGCTCATAAAATGTAATCTCGGACATTTTTATAATACACCTTTCCTTACTTCGTAGTACTCTGAATGCATGAAGATGCGCATCAAAATGTATAGGAATGTATAAAAGTTCACAAGTGCATTATCATATGACAAATTGAAAACAAAATGTGCCTTTAAAAAGGAGAAACGGATGCTGACGCTGGTTGTTGCTGAGGTGCTTCTCCAAACTGCAGCATGACTAGAGTTGAACATTAGACATAAACAATGTGCAGGCACAGAGAAAACAACATTATAAAAGTGATTGTTCAAACAAGGACCCACAACACATTTGTAAAGTGCTACTACGCTATGATAGCTTACATGGCTTTCAGCAGCATCGCATGCACTTTTTGGAGACTTCAGTCCTCCTGGTAGTGGTGGAAGTGATGCCATTTCCTGGCTGTAGACTGAAGACAAAGATTCACATGAATTCATTAATGGGAATCTTCAAATGTAATACTTTTTAAGTTTAAGAACAGAGATCATTTTAAACATTCATCTACCTGTTGAGGAAGAGGGCTGTCTGGTGGCATCACTCCTCGACAAATATTCCTCTGGACTGTTTTTATTACACCAGGCAATGTATCCTGCATTGCTTGCAGCATCATAAAAGTGTCATATTCAGGCTAAAATCTCAAAGTATCAAATCTATTCTGAATAAGACAGTATTATGATTAAGGTGTTTACATGAGTTGCTTTTAGAATATTTCTCTCATGTTCCCGTTTTACATGTCATAGTATATATCGATTGCTTGCGGCAACCACATGTGACGACCCTGGGCTGGACTCCGCTTCATCCACGGTGAAAGCCGATCCGGCGATCCACAGTGCAAAGTTGTTGTATTTCCTCAGTGACCAGCACGGATCAGCTCCAGGCATGACGAAGCAGATATCGTCCTCTTTTGGAAGGCCAAACAAAGTAGTTTCGCTTTCACAACGAATCACACAGCGTCTTCAGGACATGGCAGCGGCGGCAACAATACTACAGCGAGAATAAAAGTTCCGCCTTCTTTCCTTGCGTGAACATTTGGGCGATGTTATGCAAATCTTCCCACATAGTGAGGTAGATATGTGGGGGCGTGTTAGAACGAGCCGTTATCTGTTATTCTGTAAATCAATATATTGTGAGAGGGCCGTGTGTTACCGCATCACAAACAACTCAAAATAACAAACTACAAAGTTAACAAAATGATGCACTCTACTATGCTGAGCGAGAGCGCTTCTCTGCTGTCTTCACGTGCTATAGGAAACATCCTATTTCCCACATATGAAGTCGTGATTACCAGCACATTGCAGTCTTTACTGTTAAAAATAACAGTAAACAGTGTTTTGTGAATGTTAATGCTTAGCCTAAATAATTTTATCGAAAGCATTCATGTGAGCGCTGCTGCGGTGTTAGGCCCACCCCAAATACTCTCATTGGTTGAGACGTGTGATGATGCCCATCTCAAGCCAGTACTGATCAACATCCCACCCCTCCTGTGAGCCATGGTTTGTCTGTATGTGAATTCAGAGCCAGTGAGTAATGGGCTTTCAAAATAATAATGATAATAATAAAAACTGCGTTAATGTGTTAATTGTTGTGTTAATTAATTATTGCGTTAACGCGATAATAACATGTTAACTTGCCCAGCTCTAATTATTACATAAGTATTATTGTACATTCTGATATTGAATTTGCATATCATAAATCATAAATGTTTAAGTAAGCATGATTTAATTTTACTTACCGTTCAAATCCATGCGAGGATAATTGCGGCCGTTTCTCCAGCGATGAACCAAAATGCATAGGCGGTGTAACGTGGGAGGCGTGACAATGGAGTTGAGGATCCAAATGCAGCTTTTATTCACAAGAGTGGTCAAAACAGGCAGGGTCAAACACCAGCAAACAGGTACAATCCAGGGCGAGACAAAAGAGCAATCCAATAAACAGTCCAAGGTCAAGAAACAAGAAGGCAAGGCAAAGAAACACAGAGACTCGGAACAGGGTACAGGCTAAACAATAATCAGCAATGTGTGTGTGAATGAGTGCAACCTTTATAGTGTCACTGATAGGAAACAGGTGTGGTGCAATAATGAGTTCCTACTAATGTGAGACAGCTGTGAACCGATGATGAGATCTGATGAAAGACAGGTGATGCACTTGATGAGTCCGGGCAAAGGATTATGGGAAATGGAGTCCTGAGTGAATGACAAGGTACAGAATGGAGTGCCCTCTAGAGGAGCTCATGGGCACTCCAGCTGGAGATCATGACAGAGCCCCCCCCAAGGATTGGCTTCCAGATACTCCTTAACATGAACAGACCAGAGTCCAGGAGGGAGGTGGAGCGGAGGCGGAACAGGGGGAGGGATGGAGGGCCAGGTCCATGAGGAATGAGAGGAACAGGGGACTGAGACAGAGCCGGCGGACGGAGAGCCAAGGTGGAACTGGCGGAGCAGAGAGCCAAGGCGGAGCCATCGGAGCAGAGAGCCAGGGTGAAGCCGGCGGAGCAGGGAGCCAGGGCGGAGCAGTAAGCCAAGGCAGAACCAGTGGAACAGAGTGCCAGGGCATTGCAGTGAGCCAGGGCGTAGCTGACAGAGCAGGGAGCCAGGGCAGAGCTGAAGACCACCAAAGCAGAGCTAAGGACCACCATGGCTGAGCAGGCAGAGCAGAAGACCACCAGGGCGGAGCTGATGGTGCAGGATACCACCAAGGCGGATCAGGCAGAACTGGAATATAGAGCACAGAGAGGTTAACAATGGCCTCAGCGGCCGTAACAAGCCTGGTAGACAGTTCAGAAATGGCATCTTTAGCCATAACAGGGTGAGCAGAGAGTTCAGGGGCAGCCTTTTTGACCGTGGCTGGAATGCCAGAGAATTCAGAACTGACCTCCTTGGTCGGAACAGGACAGACTAAGAGTTCACAAACGGCCTTCTTAGCCGTAACTGGATTGGCAGAGAATTCACAGATGGCCTCCATAGCTGTGACAGGACAGGCAGAGAGTTTACAGACGACCTTCTTGGTTATGACAGGGCAAACAGAGAGTTCAGGAGAGGCCTCTTCGGCCGATTCAGAGCAGGATAAAAGTTCATAAGTGGCCTCCGTAGCCTTGACAGGATGGGCAGAGAGTTCCGGGCAAAGGATTATGGGAAATGGAGTCCTGAGTGAATGGCAAGGTACAGAATGGAGTGCCCTCTAGAGGAGCTCATGGGCACTCCAGCTGGAGATCATGACAGGCGGAGTCTAATTACATGTCTTAGGAGTTGTTTTAACACTGATGATCAAACTCTGTCAATTAACTTCAACACCGGATACCATTTTACTCCGAATTTGTTCAAATTACTCTTTGGGTGTTGAAATCAACCCGGAAATGTTTAACACTGAAATTTCAACACTCAAGTTTTTGCTGTGTAGAAGCACTTCGGTTTTATTTTCATTCAGTTGCAGAGAGATATTTGTCATCCAGATCCAGATGACTTCATTATTCATAAAAAAGATGATCTAATGAAAAGTAATTTCCTGGTTTGATTGGAAGATATAGTTGGAGGCCATTAGCGCTACAATGATATTTAATGTTATGTTTCTGGAGTAATGAGCCCAAAGGACGCATGTAGAGGGAAAACAAAAGAAGGCCAAGAATGGATCCCTGAGGAACACCACAATGGATAGGCGCAGGGGGTGAAGTAAATGACCCGATATTTACAGAAAAAGTCCTCCCCTTTAAGTGAGACAAACCAGTCTAAAACAAGGTCCTGAACCCCAACGACACACTCAAGTCGTTTCAGAAGAATATCGTGATCAACAGTGACAAATGCGGCACTCAAATATAAAAGTATCAGGATAGCAGATGACCCAGAATCAATGGACAGCAGAATGTAATTTGTATAACTTCAACACCGGATACCATTTTACTCCGAATTTGTTCAAATTACTCTTCGGGTGTTGAAATCAACCCGGAAATGTTTAACACTGAAATTTCAACACTCAAGTTTTTGCTGTGTAGAAGCACTTCGGTTTTATTTTCATTCAGTTGCAGAGAGATATTTGTCATCCAGATCCAGATGACTTCATTATTCATAAAAAAGATGATCTAATGAAAAGTAATTTCCTGGTTTGATTGGAAGATATAGTTGGAGGCCATTAGCGCTACAATGATATTTAATGTTATGTTTCTGGAGTAATGAGCCCAAAGGACGCATGTAGAGGGAAAACAAAAGAAGGCCAAGAATGGATCCCTGAGGAACACCACAATGGATAGGCGCAGGGGGTGAAGTAAATGACCCGATATTTACAGAAAAAGTCCTCCCCTTTAAGTGAGACAAACCAGTCTAAAACAAGGTCCTGAACCCCAACGACACACTCAAGTTGTTTCAGAAGAATATCGTGATCAACAGTGACAAATGCGGCACTCAAATATAAAAGTATCAGGATAGCAGATGACCCAGAATCAATGGACAGCAGAATGTAATTTGTAACCTTCAGCAATGCAGACTCAGTGCTACGTATGCAGTGCTCTAAAACCAGATTGAAACGGGTCAAACATATTAAAAGGATCCAAGTATGCTATGAGAGTGCAACTTTTTTCCAAAACCTTTGAAATTATTAAAGAGCTGTTTATAATAACTAAGTGGGTGGGGCTGATTGTGTCTAAAACCTCTCTAATCTCTCTAAACTGTATTTGGTTTAATGGCAGAAATAAGGTCTGTGATGAACACAAGCTCAAGGTACTTTCTTGTTTTATTCTGTAACATTCATACAATGCATCAGTAAAGCTTTTACAACTGCTGAAAAGGCTGGTGAATAAAGGCCTCCTGTAGCGAATCCATGCATTTTTGTAAGATAAATATCCATATTTCAAATGTAATAAACACTTGTTTCTCACTTCCGCTGACTGTCGTACCTGGAAGCCGTTCCACCAGATGACGTAAGACATCAGCGTTGCGTGATAAGTGACGAGCGCGGAGAGAGAACAAAAAAAAAAAACCGCCGGTCACAAATTAGATCTCTTACAAAAACGCATGGATTCGCAACAGGAGGCCTTTATTCACCCCCTGGAGCCATGTGAGGGATGTTTTATTATGGATGCGTGTACTTTATTTCACGTCTTCTGAACTGTTGACAATCAACACCTGCTTACCCCCATTGAAAGGCTTGGAGGGGCCAGGACAATTTTTAATATAACTCCGATTGGATTCGTCAGAAAGTCACATACACCTAGGATGCTTCAAGGGTGAGTAAAACACAGGCTAATTTAAATTTTTGGGTGAACTTACCCTTTAAAGCTTATCAGGCTGACCAGGTAAACTCATCCCCTCACTAGTCACTTTCACAGCCTCAGTGTGTTTATAATTGCACTATAACTCTGCTGATTGAATTTAGGATTCAACATTCATTAAAAATGTGTTCATTTCTGAAAATTATCATGATGAACAAAACATGTGAGTATCAGAAAGTTTATTTTCTACAATAGTCCAAAGCCCAGTGGAAAAATACCGTTGGGTTTTTGTTGCGGGAACCAGGGTGATGTGAATTACGGGTTGACCTGCAAAAATACATAATTATTGCAGCGCTCTAAACTTTCTTCCTACCAATCACAGCAGTGGGCTTTTACATTGAAGTGGTGGACAAAAAAATCTCCCCCCCCAAAAAATGCTGTAAACTATACAGGAAACCCTCTCATTTGGTCTCATTTGGTAATAGTAAAGGTTAAAAAATAACACAAGATGCAGAACTAATTGCTATACTTCAGATATAAAGTGGTGTGAAAAAGTGTTGACCCCCTTCCTGATTTCTTATTTTTTTGCATGTTTGTCACACTTTAATGTTTCAGATCATCAAACTAATTTAAATATTAGTCAAAGTTAACACAAGTGAACACAACATGCAGTTTTTAAATGAAGGTTTTTATTATTAAGTGAAAACAAAATCCAAAACTACATCCACCTGTATAGATCTGCTACAGGGTGATCATGTATGTTACTGTATATGGTAGGGCTGAGTAAAAAATATTGATTTCTTGATTTTAATCGATTCTCATTTTTACGAAATGATGTTGATTCTTAAATCCCAAGAATTGATTAGTCTAGCCTGTTTTCAGTTAAAGAACGTAACATTGTAGTGTTCCCAGTCTCAGATTTCAAATTCTGTCCATTGTATTACAGTTTTCAAACAATAAATGCAGTTTTGGCACTGTTTAATGAGAGTGTCAGAACGTTGTAGCACTGAAGTTTAAGAATAGCGGCATTGGGAAGTTTCAAAATAAAGCATGACTAAACATCCGAAGGTATGCTAAAAGAAAGACAAACTTACCGAAATCCATATCCTGTCTCATGTTATCGCTCAATCAGTGTTTCAACTGTGCAAAGACGTCAATATAACAGCTTGTAAACAATCTCACGTAATGTCAATTACCTTTATTTACCTATAAACTAACGTTATTACGCCAAAAACATATTCGGTGACCATAAACTCGTTAGTCAGCTAGAAAAATGTACTCTAGAAAGGGGCATTTTGCTTAATATGTGCACCATATAACATATTTCATTAGGGTCCAAGCAGCGAAGGGGTGATGGCATCTATTGTATCCGTTGGTGTTCCTATTTTCTTAATAAGGCTTAAATTTGCACTATTGCCTGGTTTGTACTGTCTTTGTATTGTATTGTTAAACTGCATACCATTTATCGCTGACTGTACTGCAGATAAGGCTTAACTTTGTACTATCGCCTTGTTTGTATTGGTTTGTGTATTGTTTGTCTTGTATTGTATAGTAATAACATTTTTTCTGTATTACAGATGTTTAAGTTACATGTGACTGCACTGTTAGGATTGCTCAAATTTCACTATACTTCACTATACTAAAGAATCTTGAATCTATTCTTCTTCTTCTTTCGTTTCTTCCGCTCTTGAGTCTATGGCAGCCCATAGAACTGCTTGCGGGAAAGTTGTGAAATTTGGCACACTGATAGAGGACCATCTCAACATTAACCACAGCAAGTTTGGAGTCTGTTAAACAACTCCACAAACAACATCACCAGCTTCATGCATTACTAACCAGTTAGACTTTATTTCTGGAGTATCTAAAACAGAAGTTTTTTAGTGAGAATTAAGGTTTAGATTTTTTTTTAAACACCGTGTTGGTGAATAGTGTTTGCTTTAGGTGTCTCTTGACCCTTGACTTGTTAAATATAAGTTTCTCTGCCTTAACAAATGTGTTAACATAAACACAATTACAGCAATCAGAGAAAAACTGATGTTAGAAAGTCAAGGGTCAAAAACCCAACTAAAGCAAACACTTATCTACACATCAGTGACTTTTAATTTTATTCTTTACTATAAACATTAACATCTAAATCTCTGTTACTTCTTAATAAGAAATGTTTTGATGCATGACAAAAAAAGTCAAACTGGTTAGTAATGCATGAAGCTGGTGATGTTGTTTGTAGAGTTGTTCAATCATCTTCTGCTGAGATCTTGAGAGATTTAATGTCTTCTTTTATTTCAGTTGATTTCATCTAAGACTGTGGCTGAAGTCAGTTGTAGTTCTTGTGTTTCTCTTTTCTTCAGTGATTCTGCTTGTTTAACAGCAGGTGTTCATCACTAATGCTCAGTCAGCACTTAATTAATCACATAATTATCTCATTAACTTTAACACTCTTTTAGAGTGGGATCATATATGCTCTGAGCAGTGTTAATTTAACACTCAGGATTTTACTGTGTAATAACTTTTGAACCATAAGACACAGAAGGAAATTTTTCCTCGAGGAGTCGGGAGAACCTAGACGGTTGTCTGATTCTCAGAATTGGCTCAGATCATCTTCAGACCATGCTGGCAAAAAAGTTATGGAATTCAAGTTGATTCTTCAACCTGTTCTCGAATAACACGCAAACAAATTCGACAAAAAGCATGCAAAAATGGATCTGAGGCTGTATCTCCGCAGCGGTTTGGCGTATTGAGACCAAACTTTGTGTGTTATGACAAGCATGACCTGAGACTACCTGCAGTGTTTCGGTGCAGTGCCACCCAGTGGTCAGGAGATATGAAAATGCATATTTTTGCTTATAACTTCTGAATGGTTTGGCCAAAAATCACAATTTTCACATGTTTATAACTTTGGGTGTGGTCGACTTATTTTCACCAGAGTCATCTTTTTATACTACTGAATCCTTGTCGAGTCCAGAGATACCAAACATGCCAGGTTTTGGCTTAAAACAGGTACAATCCAGGGCGAGACAAAAGAGCAATCCAATAAACAGTCCAAGGTCAAGAAACAAGAAGGCAAGGCAAGGCAAGGAAACACAGAGACTCGGAACAGGGTACAGGCTAAACAATAATCAGCAATGTGTGTGTGAATGATTGCAACCTTTATAGTGTCACTAATAGGAAACAGGTGTGGTGCAATAATGAGTTCCTACTAATGTGAGACAGCTGTGAACCAATGATGAGATCTGATGAGAGACAGGTGATGCACTTGATGAGTCCGGGCAAAGGATTATGGGAAATGGAGTCCTGAGTGAATGGCAAGGTACAGAATGGAGTGCCCTCTAGAGGAGCTCATGGGCACTCCAGCTGGAGATCATGACAGGCGGAGTCTAATTACATGTCTTAGGAGTTGTTTTAACACTGATGATCAAACTCTGTCAATTAACTTCAACACCGGATACCATTTTACTCCGAATTTGTTCAAATTACTCTTTGGGTGTTGAAATCAACCCGGAAATGTTTAACACTGAAATTTCAACACTCAAGTTTTTGCTGTGTAGAAGCACTTCGGTTTTATTTTCATTCAGTTGCAGAGAGATATTTGTCATCCAGATCCAGATGACTTCATTATTCATAAAAAAGATGATCTAATGAAAAGTAATTTCCTGGTTTGATTGGAAGATATAGTTGGAGGCCATTAGCGCTACAATGATATTTAATGTTATGTTTCTGGAGTAATGAGCCCAAAGGATGCATGTAGAGGGAAAACAAAAGAGGGCCAAGAATGGATCCCTGAGGAACACCACAATGGATAGGCGCAGGGGGTGAAGTAAATGACCCGATATTTACAGAAAAAGTCCCCCCCTTTAAGTGAGACAAACCAGTCTAAAACAAGGTCCTGAACCCCAACGACACACTCAAGTCGTTTCAGAAGAATATCGTGATCAACAGTGACAAATGCGGCACTCAAATATAAAAGTATCAGGATAGCAGATGACCCAGAATCAATGGACAGCAGAATGTAATTTGTAACCTTCAGCAATGCAGACTCAGTGCTACGTATGCAGTGCTCTAAAACCAGATTGAAACGGGTCAAACATATTAAAAGGATCCAAGTATGCTATGAGAGTGCAACTTTTTTCCAAAACCTTTGAAATTATTAAAGAGCTGTTTATAATAACTAAGTGGGTGGGGCTGATTGTGTCTAAAACCTCTCTAATCTCTCTAAACTGTATTTGGTTTAATGGCAGAAATAAGGTCTGTGATGAACACAAGCTCAAGGTACTTTCTTGTTTTATTCTGTAACATTCATACAATGCATCAGTAAAGCTTTTACAACTGCTGAAAAGGCTGGTGAATAAAGGCCTCCTGTAGCGAATCCATGCATTTTTGTAAGATAAATATCCATATTTCAAATGTAATAAACACTTGTTTCTCACTTCCGCTGACTGTCGTACCTGGAAGCCGTTCCACCAGATGACGTAAGACATCAGCGTTGCGTGATAAGTGACGAGCGCGGAGAGAGAACAAAAAAAAAAAACCGCCGGTCACAAATTAGATCTCTTACAAAAACGCATGGATTCGCAACAGGAGGCCTTTATTCACCCCCTGGAGCCATGTGAGGGATGTTTTATTATGGATGCGTGTACTTTATTTCACGTCTTCTGAACTGTTGACAATCAACACCTGCTTACCCCCATTGAAAGGCTTGGAGGGGCCAGGACAATTTTTAATATAACTCCGATTGGATTCGTCAGAAAGTCACATACACCTAGGATGCTTCAAGGGTGAGTAAAACACAGGCTAATTTTAATTTTGGGGTGAACTTACCCTTTAAAGCTTATCAGGCTGACCAGGTAAACTCATCCCCTCACTAGTCACTTTCACAGCCTCAGTGTGTTTATAATTGCACTATAACTCTGCTGATTGAATTTAGGATTCAACATTCATTAAAAATGTGTTCATTTCTGAAAATTATCATGATGAACAAAACATGTGAGTATCAGAAAGTTTATTTTCTACAATAGTCCAAAGCCCAGTGGAAAAATACCGTTGGGTTTTTGTTGCGGGAACCAGGGTGATGTGAATTACGGGTTGACCTGCAAAAATACATAATTATTGCAGCGCTCTAAACTTTCTTCCTACCAATCACAGCAGTGGGCTTTTACATTGAAGTGGTGGACAAAAAAATCTCCCCCCCCCAAAAATGCTGTAAACTATACAGGAAACCCTCTCATTTGGTCTCATTTGGTAATAGTAAAGGTTAAAAAATAACACAAGATGCAGAACTAATTGCTATACTTCAGATATAAAGTGGTGTGAAAAAGTGTTGACCCCCTTCCTGATTTCTTATTTTTTTGCATGTTTGTCACACTTTAATGTTTCAGATCATCAAACTAATTTAAATATTAGTCAAAGTTAACACAAGTGAACACAACATGCAGTTTTTAAATGAAGGTTTTTATTATTAAGTGAAAACAAAATCCAAAACTACATCCACCTGTATAGATCTGCTACAGGGTGATCATGTATGTTACTGTATATGGTAGGGCTGAGTAAAAAATATTGATTTCTTGATTTTAATCGATTCTCATTTTTACGAAATGATGTTGATTCTTAAATCCCAAGAATTGATTAGTCTAGCCTGTTTTCAGTTAAAGAACGTAACATTGTAGTGTTCCCAGTCTCAGATTTCAAATTCTGTCCATTGTATTACAGTTTTCAAACAATAAATGCAGTTTTGGCACTGTTTAATGAGAGTGTCAGAACGTTGTAGCACTGAAGTTTAAGAATAGCGGCATTGGGAAGTTTCAAAATAAAGCATGACTAAACATCCGAAGGTATGCTAAAAGAAAGACAAACTTACCGAAATCCATATCCTGTCTCATGTTATCGCTCAATCAGTGTTTCAACTGTGCAAAGACGTCAATATAACAGCTTGTAAACAATCTCACGTAATGTCAATTACCTTTATTTACCTATAAACTAACGTTATTACGCCAAAAACATATTCGGTGACCATAAACTCGTTAGTCAGCTAGAAAAATGTACTCTAGAAAGGGGCATTTTGCTTAATATGTGCACCATATAACATATTTCATTAGGGTCCAAGCAGCGAAGGGGTGATGGCATCTATTGTATCCGTTGGTGTTCCTATTTTCTTAATAAGGCTTAAATTTGCACTATTGCCTGGTTTGTACTGTCTTTGTATTGTATTGTTAAACTGCATACCATTTATCGCTGACTGTACTGCAGATAAGGCTTAACTTTGTACTATCGCCTTGTTTGTATTGGTTTGTGTATTGTTTGTCTTGTATTGTATAGTAATAACATTTTTTCTGTATTACAGATGTTTAAGTTACATGTGACTGCACTGTTAGGATTGCTCAAATTTCACTATACTTCACTATACTAAAGAATCTTGAATCTATTCTTCTTCTTCTTTCGTTTCTTCCGCTCTTGAGTCTATGGCAGCCCATAGAACTGCTTGCGGGAAAGTTGTGAAATTTGGCACACTGATAGAGGACCATCTCAACATTAACCACAGCAAGTTTGGAGTCTGTTAAACAACTCCACAAACAACATCACCAGCTTCATGCATTACTAACCAGTTAGACTTTATTTCTGGAGTATCTAAAACAGAAGTTTTTTAGTGAGAATTAAGGTTTAGATTTTTTTTTAAACACCGTGTTGGTGAATAGTGTTTGCTTTAGGTGTCTCTTGACCCTTGACTTGTTAAATATAAGTTTCTCTGCCTTAACAAATGTGTTAACATAAACACAATTACAGCAATCAGAGAAAAACTGATGTTAGAAAGTCAAGGGTCAAAAGCCCAACTAAAGCAAACACTTATCTACACATCAGTGACTTTTAATTTTATTCTTTACTATAAACATTAACATCTAAATCTCTGTTACTTCTTAATAAGAAATGTTTTGATGCATGACAAAAAAAGTCAAACTGGTTAGTAATGCATGAAGCTGGTGATGTTGTTTGTAGAGTTGTTCAATCATCTTCTGCTGAGATCTTGAGAGATTTAATGTCTTCTTTTATTTCAGTTGATTTCATCTAAGGCCGTGGCTGAAGTCAGTTGTAGTTCTTGTGTTTCTCTTTTCTTCAGTGATTCTGCTTCTTAACAGCAGGTGTTCATCACTAATGCTCAGTCAGCACTTAATTAATCACATAATTATCTCATTAACTTTAACACTGCTTCAGTGTTACTTTAACACTCTTTTAGAGTGGGACCATATATGCTCTGAGCAGTGTTAATTTAACACTCAGGATTTTACTGTGTAATAACTTTTGAACCATAAGACACAGAAGGAAAATTTTCCTCGAGGAGTCGGGAGAACCTAGACGGTTGTCTGATTCTCAGAATTGGCTCAGATCATCTTCAGACCATGCTGGCAAAAAGTTATGGAATTCAAGTTGATTCTTCAACCTGTTCTCGAATAACACGCAAACAAATTCGACAAAAAGCATGCAAAAATGGATCTGAGGCTGTATCTCCGCAGCGGTTTGGCGTATTGAGACCAAACTTTGTGTGTTATGACAAGCATGACCTGAGACTACCTGCAGTGTTTCGGTGCAGTGCCACCCAGTGGTCAGGAGATATGAAAATGCATATTTTTGCTTATAACTTCTGAATGGTTTGGCCAAAAATCACAATTTTCACATGTTTATAACTTTGGGTGTGGTCGACTTATTTTCACCAGAGTCATCTTTTTATACTACTGAATCCTTGTCGAGTCCAGAGATACCAAACATGCCAGGTTTTGGCTTATGGTTTGTGCAACGTTGCATTTTAGCGCTTAAAAAACATTTGCCAATATTTTAGAAACCGTTACTCCAATCGACACAAAACCACTGTAGGAAATTCGGAAACATAGCATGCCAGTAATGTGATAATACCCAATTGCCAAAATTTTTATAGTAAGTGGCAAAAAAATGCAAACAATGTCAGCCATCGGTAATTTTTTTCAAGTTGATTCTTCAACCTGTTCTCGAATAACACGCAAACAAATTCGACAAAAAGCATGCAAAAATGGATCTGAGGCTGTATCTCCGCAGCGGTTTGGCGTATTGAGACCAAACTTTGTGTGTTATGACAAGCATGACCTGAGACTACCTGCAGTGTTTCGGTGCAGTGCCACCCAGTGGTCAGGAGATATGAAAATGCATATTTTTGCTTATAACTTCTGAATGGTTTGGCCAAAAATCACAAAACTCTCTTTAGATTGGGTGCATCATGCCGAATGATACCCAATTTTTCCGTGTCAGCCATTTTGGGCATCGGCCATTTTTAATTTTGTAGTAAAATGCTGTATTTTATGAACGCATTGACTTATCGTTACGAAACTTGGTATGGGTCATCAGCATGATGCCCTGAAGGAGCCTGAGAAGTTTGGAGCCAGTGCCACCTAGTGGTAAAATCAAATATTCACATGTTTATAACTTTGGGTGTGGTCGACTTATTTTCACCAGAGTCATCTTTTTAGACTACTGAATCCTTGTCGAGTCCAGCGATACCAAACATGCCAGGTTTTGGCTTATGGTTTGTGCAACGTTGCATTTTAGCGCTTAAAAAACATTTGCCAATATTTTAGAAACCGTTACTCCGATTGACACAAAACCACTGTAGGAAATTCGGAAACATAGCATGCCAGTAATGTGATAATACCCAATTGCCAAAATTTTTATAGTAAGTGGCAAAAAAATGCAAACAATGTCAGCCATCGGTAATTTTTCTCTTCTCATATATAAAAATGTCTATAACTCCAAAACAAAATGAGATATTTTCACCAAATTTAACGCACATATGTATGGGCACACTCTAAGGACACATAAAAAATTTGGTGGGATTGTGCATCTTGGTGGAGCTATAATTGAACAAAACATGAAATTGCCATTGACTACAATAGAGTATTATGATATAAAATACTATATTTTATGAATGCATTGGTGTACCATTACGAAACTTTGTATGTGCCATCAAGACAATGACCTGAAAGTACTTGAGATAGTGCCACCTTGTGGTCAAAAGTTACAATGAAATTTCAAATAAATGCTAATAGCTTTCTGTGAATTTTGCCGATTGTAACGAGACTGGTATTAATAGATTCCTTGGGTCATGCTGAGAACAGTAATACCAATGTTGCCATAGTCAGCCAAACTTCCTGTCCACCATTTTGATTTTCTTTTAAAACCTACTTTTTCAAACTCCTCCTAGACCGTTGGTCCGGTTTTCACCAAAATCTAATCATATCATCTTCAGACCATGCTGACAAAAAGTTATGGATTTTGTGATGATAGACAAAACTGTTTTCGCATACGACAGCAATGAATTTGAGGCATGATGCCGAATTGACACTTGAGGCCGTATCTCTGCAATGCTTTGGCATATTGACAGCAAACTTTGTGTGTGCCATTGTCAACTCACACAGAACACACCACATCGATTTGATAACAGCGCCATCTATTGGTCAAACGTGATAAGCCAATAAATTATGTTAGGTTGTATTTATGATTTTCCAGCCGTTTTAACTAAAATCATCCTAAAATGGCTTCAATTACTCATTTCTGCAGTTTATCTGATGCTTGCTTCTGTAGTGCTTGGCCCCGTAATTGCTGCTTGCAGCTATATTTATAATTATTACTGTTATTCAGTGTTTAATTTATGTTTGAATAAATCGGTCAAGTTTTAATGACAGTCGGCATTGGAGTCGAAATATTGTTATGTAATTGTAACTTTATTATTATAAAAACTTAATTGAGTGTAATTTAAGTTTTTGTATACAAATCAATAAATTTTAACCTTCAATATTTGTAGTAATGTAGTACCAGCTGAATCTCATGTATATTTTACAGCATTAGTTGAGAGATTGTTTTTTTCCTTGGGAAGATTTGGCATGTACTGTTCCTGATATATATCCAAAATAATCAACATCGAATCGAATCACATCAAATTGGTAATCAAATCGAATCCAATCACAAGCTTGTGAATGAGAATCTAATCAAATCGTGAAATTTGTGTCAAAACCTAGCCCTACTATATGGGGTTATTTCATATATGTTATATGTGCAGCAGCAGCATTTCTTACGTGCTCACAGCATTCATGTTGTGGAGTTGTTGGCAGCAGCAGTGTACCAGATCAATTCCGCCAAGACCAAACACATTAACAATGTACATTACCATACCAATCCCTCTGAGAGTTGTCATGATAGAACTAACTGTTAACTTCAGAAAACACTCAAAACTGATGAAGGAAACTGCAGCGTGCCATCAAACCATTGTGTCTGCTTTAGGTCGCCTTTCCAAGTGGACTTCTATCACATTTCTGCTTGGAGTTGATAGTTTTGTGGGCAAGCACAGGTTTGACCATTTAGTCTGTGTGTGTGTGTGTGTGTGTGTTTGTAGATGAGGCCCATGTGGAGGATGTGAGGATGCGCGAGCGTCTGCTGTGGGACGAGCCGCTGCAGATCTCCTGGCTGATGGAGGCCGAGCCGTTCACCTCCTCCCTCCAGACGGGGGGTCCTGTGGCGGGCGCCAGCATGACCCTGGAGCAGAAGACCACCTTTGCCTTCGTCATCTTCCTCTTCGTCTTCCTCTGCATGCTGATCGTGCGCTGCTTCCGCATCCTGCTGGACCCCTACCGCAGCATGCCCACTTCCACCTGGGCCGACGGTCTGGACGGACTCGAGAAGGGCCAGTTTGATTACACGCTGGCATAGAGACACTTACTCTCACACACACACACACACACACACACACACACACAATGACACACACAAACACACACACACTCCCGCAGAGCGCTGGACATCCTGAAGTCATACACAAACACGTGTAGAAATACATCAAATATACAGTAATTCTGCATATGAGCAGCTCCGCCACAAGCTTGTGAAGACTATAACACATACACACACACACTGTGCTCACTGCCTTCCACACATACAAGATGTTGTTTGAGAAGATGAGTGTGCAGTGCTTTATTCCAGGCTGAATGGATACTGAGCTCTTATTAGCGCTGAGACACAGGGTAGCCTTCTTTTATATTCTCCCAAAACCACAGCCCTCCTGTCCTCATGTATCTGTGCTGTTGTAAACTGCCAAGTACAAATCTCTAGAAGAGAAGCTCTTTCTAAAACCGTTTATAAGCACTTCATATGACGCTTTTGTCGAAATAGCCCTTAAAAAAACGTGCACTGTAATCGGCCACTGTCAAAGTTTACATGATTCATTACTGGCAATTACTGCAGTGCTTCTGGCCACATCCTGGCCTTTTTAGAAACCTCTAGCTGATATGAATACGCAGTTAGGACAGGCTGTTAGATGAGCTGTTGATTCATTGTGTGTGCAATATGTGGCTCACTTCACAGGTTCTGTACATCTGAAAGCTCATTGATGGTAGGAACCGCAGGATCTGTCAGCCTTAGCACGATAAATACTCTTAGATCACGTCTCTACCTGTATATTCATAGGCTGTAGTTTCGTAAGCCTTAACCCGTGAAGCTGCCATCAGGAGAAGCATCGTAATGTGAAGTCGCATGACCCATTTGAGCCTTTGAGCCGAACGCTAATCTTGAAAATCCATGTCCTTGAGAGCCGATAATCACACACTGATAATGATGTGAACGCTCTTCTGCCCCGTCGATCGTAGCTCATCTCACCGATGATCGTGATGATTTTTGTTGCACTACTTCATTGTACCTGCTGTCACTGTGAAAGAGTCGACAAGCTTTAGAGCACTAAGTAAAGGACGCGTTATTGTATGTGTCGTGACAAAGATTTAACAATCATTATAGCTGCTCATGTTTGAAAGACTGAAGATATTGGGGTTGGAGTGAACAGATGGTTTTCATCGTTCCTCATGAAGCGCTGCTGCTCTCTAGATGATACAAAGCACTAAACAGCTCTGTCTGTCTGTCTGTGAGTTTTAGTAGAGTATGTGGAGCCTCAAAACAATTTAGACCTTCATACTGTTTAGAAATAAGTGTCTGTAAAACAGAGAAATAATACATCTAGGAAACAAAGCACCAGTATATTCAAACACAAGATAATTCTGAATTATGATGCTTTGTTTTAATAGTGTCACAACCTCATTTATGTTTAAAAGAGATAATTAATAAAACATTTCCAAAGCAGTATAAATGTCATTTCCTGTTTTAATGTCATCAGAGTACCTGTACACCATTGCAAAGAGATTTTTTAAAGCTTTTACCTGTCTTGAAAAAGATGGTTGCTAATAAGTGTCTAAATGGGACTACAGAGGTTGTCTGGGATATTAACTTCATCATAGTGAACTGGTAAAATCATGCACTCACTAGATGCTTTCACAGCCATAGTGTGTTTATAATCACACTTTTGCAAACTATTCTAACTCAAACTCTCAGAAAATGTTTTTAAATAAAGTTGTTGAAGCTGAATGGAGTTGACTGTGTTGTGTTGCTCGTTTATAGCCTACATTAAGCGTTACACTTCTGCTGATTGTATTTAGAAAATTCTAAAAAGTTGTGTGTATTTATTCAGAACTATTCTTTCATGAATCATACTCTCATTATAGTGACATTTGCTTAACAATGTCTTCCTTTTAGCCAATAAGTTTGCCTGCAGGGTGAGTGTAATGTAACAGTATTCATGAGGAAAGCTCTGCTGTAAATGGGTCTAATCTACTAATCGAGTAGAAGCCATGAATAACCTCCGGACTCCAGCGCCCTTTCTAAGTCTGGTTGAAATGTCCAACAGGAGCATCTCTCCAGGAGTGGTAAACCTAAGCATCGCTGTACAAAAAAAAGTTGCTTCATTCAGAAGGCATTAATTTGCTGCTGTTCAAAATAATTTTAAACCTGGAAAGAAAAATGTCTGTTAAGCCAAGTTCACACTACAGGATTTTAAGCCCGATTTTCAAGTTAACGAGCTCACTGTCAGGTCAAGTTGTGATTGGGGGAAAATCGTCGGGTGATCAGCGCTCAGCAATCTTTATGTGTGAACTACTCAATGATTAATCAAAGAGGCTCGCACACACCAAACAAATATCTAGCAAGCTAAATATCTGGACCGGTCAGCGACAAGCTTCAGCCAGTGAGAGGAAAAGGCATGTGTTGAGGTCAGCGGAAGGAACAGCAGCAGCAACATGGAACAAGTTTGGACACAAGAAATGAAGCAACATTTTTCAGAACAGATCATCACTAATTTCAGCACTAATTTCTTCTCAACCTCCATTTTCAAATAACTCCTGTTTCATGTGTTGTTTCGCATCATTCCTGTGCAGCGTCTGGACCAACCAGACACACAATTGTTTTAGTTATATTTAACAAATACTCTGTAACACCCCTCAGTCAACAAACCAACTACGAGGGTCTATGGACCCTTCCCCCGACATGCATCTAACACCTCAGAAAGGCAGAACAGGCCTCTGGTTCCATGGCAACCAATGCTGATATCACTGGTTTTATTGCCCAAAGGAATGCGGGCAGAGAAACTCACAATTAATTTACCCTTAGGAAAGACACACAATGGCTATAAAAATGGACTCTTCTCTAATTAATTCATAGGAAAACCTTTCTGTGAATGAACACACATCTCCTCAGGACATTGTGAATACCATTACTATTCTTGTGTATTGTCTGTTGAATTGTATACTGTTTGTGTGTGTGTTATGATAGATCACTAGTTAATATAGCCCCACCGATACCATGTTTGGTCTCTTTGAATTTATCTTCTGATGATCTAAATGAGCGTTTATATTATATGTGGGTACATAGGCAATATATTAGTGTTCTAAGAATCTTTAGTAATTTTGATTCAAGTTCCATATGCAAATTACCATGCTCTCACACAAAGGGTCATAAAACTCTGCAGTATTTCCAACCTCCCGCTTGGAATTTCGGCCTTTCTCATTGGACAACCCCATCCTGAGAGGCGGGAATCTTCTCAGACCTTAAAAGGCTCACGCACAGTTCTGCCCATGTTCTTGTTGTTCTTCTTCTGCTAAGAAGCGTGTTGGAGCCTGAGCCGGTGCGGGCGTGCCCGGTGCACTCCAACACATAGTCAGTCAGCCTGCGGTTCTGTTAGATTCTGAGAAGATGAGGATGTGAGCTAGCACCCCTCTAAGGACACCCTAAGTCTGCGCCATGCCTCGGGCCTTGACTTTCTATTCATCAAGATCATCTGACTCAAAATGGTTCTTTCTCATCACCTAACTTCAGCCAACCTACTGGAGCCCCAAAGAGCATCAGGACTCTCTTTCAAACAGGTGAGACGTGCAAGTATTTGCATTTGCACCTTTTACAAAGGTGTGTTTGAACTAAGAAACTGATGTTTCCTTCAGGCTGTAGATCTGCTGAATATCAAATGGTACCATAGCTTCATGTTTTTATTTGTCTTCTCTTTACTGCTTAAGCTTTAACCCTTTTTCCTATATCAACGGTATGCGTGTGTGTGTGTGTGTATGTGTATGTTAGACTAGTTTAAGTGTTTATGTAGTTAATAAAGTCTTACTTGTATCACACTTGAGGTTGTTCATTGTTTGCTCATAACTGGAGTCCCTAATCATGCAGATTTTTGCTACATGCTCTGAGTAGTATTGTACAGGAAATTAATGTTCTTAGAATTGACAGACAGTTGAGTAAATACTTACAGCGGATCTAAATATTTATAATTAATTATAACTAGTTATAATTAATTATTCATATTTACTCTTTGAGCTGATTCGCTACACCTGTTCCACTTCTCACGAGTGTTCTCATGACAAAACATGGTTTGGGGATCAGATGGAGACGTTGGTTAACAGAGTTGTTCCCTGTTGTAGATCATTTACGTAGTGTCACGTAGTGTGAACACCACAACGACTTCAAGACAGACAGCAAGTCACGTAGTCTTAACAGCACAGCGATCTGCCAATGTTTAAAGTCAAGTGGTGTGAACTTGACTTTAAGCTGTCCAGGATGACGAGGAAGCAAAGGTTTGATGACATGATGAAGGAAGAGTGTGTCGGGTGTGTATGAGCAGGGCTGAAGTTCAGCTGTGTGTGAATACAGTGATAAAGGGAAAAGAGGGTCCAGGCTTTGTCCCTCATTCGATGGCAGGAGGACACATTGCGCTGCCAGATGGACACACTTTTCCTTCACTCCCAAAATATGCAAGAGTTTGCTCTATTCTACTTTGCTTTTGCTTGTTGGAATTCAGACAACACAGCTGTTTGGTTGAAATAGGCATCTCTAATGTTCTATATTTGCTGAACTGTGTGAGGAAGTGCAGCTCGTCCTCTATGGCTCCGTCAGTGGAGTGTGAACACAGTCTGAGCTCTCTGGATCTCTGGGCACTCTTTTGTCGGCCCGTCTCCACACTCAGACTGTGCTCACTCAGACGATACTTCATCAGCAGCTTTCTCTGACAATTGTCTTTAATACTGCTCAAGTATGGTGCCAGTTTATAATCAGATTTTATTTTGTGGAAGTAAGTTGATTTCTTTACTTGAGTTACATTATGCTGCCAATTATGAATGTATTTTTTCTGGGTTGTTTTTTCTGTTTCTTTCATTTCTGAATATCTTATCCGAATTGTTGAATCAAGTTTATGTTTTTCTACTAAATAGTGCATGGGGTCACTCTCAGGGTGTTTTTCCTGTAAAAAGCACTGTGTAAAAAGCACTGTGATGGTAGATATCTGTGGGAGTGTCTGATAGGTGGAACCAGAACTTCGCTGCTCTCTTCTGGATTTCAGAGAGCAGAGGGAATCTGCCCAGTTCTGCCCTGCAGCCGAGATTTGGGGCATTTCTGTGAATTCCCAAGATGTTTTTACAGAACTCAAGGTGGAAAATTTCAACAGGGTTTTTGTCCCATGATTCATAGTTCAGTTTAAATTTGGGGCCCCAGATTTCACAGCTATAGAGAAGAATAGGTTTGATGATGCTATCGAAGATTTTCAGCCACAGTTTAATTGATGGGTTGCAAGAGGCTGAGATTGTCAGACCCAAATAATTATAAGAGGTGACATGATTAAGAATTGTTTACCCAATTGTAAAATTATCATTTTTGCCAGCAAGGAGAGGCTTTTTCTGAAGGATCGTGATTTTAGACTTCTCTATGTCTATCACTACTGTACTTTTCTACTCTCTCTATATTCCATGGTCACAGCTTCTCTAGTTTTGACTCTGTTGACCCCACAGTGGTTGATGAGGTAATCAGGCTGTCTAATTCCTCTACTAGTCTTCTTGACCCTGCACCTAACTCTTTACTGAAGAATTGCTTGACTGCTTTGTCACTACCCATCACTCATTTCATTAATAGGTCAATGCCACCTGGAACTACCATCTAAGCTTAAGATTGCTGCTGTCACCCTGGTTCTTAAAAAGCATTGTCTCGATCCTTCTTCCCTAATTAGCTATAGGCCTATTTAAAACTTATCTTTTCTCTCTAACATATTAGAAAAAGTTGTTGCCTCTCAGTTGCAGGCCTAGTTAACAGCACACAACCTCTATGAGCCATTCCAGTCTGGCTTTTGTCCATTACACAGCAATGAAACAGCCCTGATTAAGGTTCCTAACAATCTTCTCTTAGTCTCTGATTCTGGTGCTCTTAGCACTATTCTCCTGTTAGACCTCAGCTCAGAGTTTGACACTGTTTGTCATGAGATACTCTTCTCACAGCTTTCAGCAATTGGAATCACTGGCACAGCCTTTAAATCGTTTTCCTCCTATTTGACAGGGAGGCAAAACATTGTTATTTACCAGAAACACAAATCCATCAGTTCTGGTGTACCTCAAGGTTCTGTTTTGGGCCCTCTTCTATATGCTACCAATTGGACAAATAATTGCTGATGACATTCAGATTTAATTTAGCACACCTTCCACCTCTGTGTTTCCTCTGCCTATTGGCTTCCAGTTTCCTTGCATATAAGGTTAGGTATTCATACTCCCCTATAAAGCTCTCCATAATCTATGTCCTACATATTTATCTGACTTCAGCCTTATTCTCCTGCTCGCTCCTTATGATCTTCTAGTGAGGTTAGTCACCCCTAAGTTTCATCTGGAGACTATGGGAGCCAGATCTTTCAGTGTTGTGGCACCCAGGTTGTGGAATGCTTTTCCCCAAGACATACATCAATCATCCTCCCTTCTCTGCTTCACAAACCTCTTAAAACGCATTTTTTTCTCTGAGTATTACTCTTCAGTTCA